GGTGACTCAAACGCGCGCTTCAGCAACAAGGGAACTATCAGAACGCATATTCAGATAGTGTGGTTCATGTGTTGAGGGCGACCATTAAGGGAAGATCACGTTGAGACCCTGCTCCCTATTGTCGTGCTAAGCACGGATTGTGTATCTGCAAATTTTCGGGCATACGAGTATTTGTTTGTCGATACCTAGTGAATCAGTATCAGTTTCTCTGCTGATTGGCAAAGTTTTTTGACCATAACGTACATTAGCCTTTTTAGAATTCTACATTTTTGTTTGACGTATCTGTACAAATGAGTAGGAGGTGTAACCTTTGCACGCCTTTTTCTTGATTTTACGCTAAGTGCAGTTACTCTCTCTGCCCTCACGGCAGACTCCAATGAGAACAACATTGAATTGCCATTTGTCACCTTTAACTACTTCCACTAGACCCGAGCACCCAAGTAACTGTTGCTACCAAAACGTTCAAAATGTTCAGAATAACTGATAATTATTATTTCCTTCAAACTTTTGAAAATTTACAGGTTATTCAAAATTTCAATCACTCGGACTTTTGTGAATTTTAGAAATTTTGCGAATTTTATAGATTTTCAAAATTTACTGCTCTACTGATACTTTACAAATTGCTAGAACTCCCAAAACATTCAGATCCATCTATAGATATATAGATTATATAACATAAATTTTGAAAATTGTTCAAATTTTCCTAAATTTAGAAAGTTCCAACGTATTTTTAGGGTAATTTAAGGATGCGCTATCGTTATTTAAAATCTATGTGTTGATTAACTCTCAATCGGCTCTCAGCCTTCAAGAATTGACTATAAATGTAGATCTCAGGTTGAATAAGATCTGCAAATGTCCTCACCTCGTTTACTGGGATAATATTTTTAAGGTATTAATGAGACCTTTCTTCGCTGTCGCAATGCAACGATGATTCAGACACTCCACCCACAGTTTTGTTAACAATACTCGTACAGATTTCTTTATCCTGCTAAGGCCAGGTAGGCAGGATAATTTGCCATATGTTTATGGTGCTGTCTTTGATCCAAGGCTGCCAGGCCTCCTGCCATACCAGTAGGTTTATTGATTTGCGTTTTAGTCTGCATTGAAACTATACCATCGTTCTTAGCAGAATTTGGCTTCGCCCTAGAACCTCTGAGCCGATCTTCTGATTCTGGTGATTATCTTCAAATACTTTATTATATCAAACGCATTAATAGCAGAAGAAATTTGATTTTTCCTTGTGAGAGGATGGAGTATGATTAATAACGAATTATTCAAGCATTGTATTCTGTATAAGATGGTCCTATTCTCAGTAAAAAAGTATGATTAAAATTTAAACAGATTTTACACATTTATAGTTCCTAAGTTCCGGGTATCTTATTAATTCATAGCTATTCTGAAACTGACTAGGGCTGCCCGTGGTATGTCATATATTTATGTACATAAAGTATGTTATTCATCCAACGAGCGTGAACAATAGTGCTTGTGTCATAAACACAATAAAATTGCACTCGTCCATAGCTGTGTCCTATATCCAATACTTTTTACTACATAAATGCTGACGTTTATCGTGCGACTCAGAGCCATGGAGATAAAATATTACAATTTTATGTTTTCGAAAAGACTACATAGTTACACAGTGTACAATTTTTAATTACAGTAATTTTACAAATTTTAAATTAATGTCAACTATGCATAATCCGAAACAGTAATGGATCAAAAGTTGTTGAATTTACAGAAAATATTTCAATATACATCATGATTCAACATTTATGGACCATTGCAAATTTGGCGGAAAGATAATATCAAGTACTCTTATCAACAACTTGATTATTATTGTTTTGTATAATGCCACAAAAGCAAAATAGTCTCTTATCTGTAGCCTTATTATCTATTACATTTTTTTTGTACCAAAAACCGCACAGGAGGTTTTATTCTAAAGGATTCTGAAACTTACTGCCCACCTTTTTTAGTAATAGTGAAAATAACCATTCATCAGAAAGTATCATTACTTGGGTGATCGTTGATACCGATATTACTAGATTTATACATCCGCCTCAAACCAACCTAAAAAAAGCATAGCATTTCTGTGAACCTTTTTTCGGGAATCTTGTAAACCTACTCACTTCACATCGAATAATTTACTAACACTATATATCAACAGGCTGAACTATTTCTCAACGCCTCATAATTCGTGTGCACGATTCACTCGGCATAAATCAAGAAATCTAGGAATTTATAGAGATTCTTTATCATTTCTTCGGTCTGCACAAATAGCAGCAAAGTAGGTTAATTGCAGATATTTGATTTATAGTTTTATCCATAAACAGAAACAAACGATATTCAGTCAGTTCGGAATTCCGCAATACTTTTGGCATAATGGTAGAATGGCGCACGCACGGTCGAATGAAGACAAAGTAGATGAAAGTCACTGCAACCATTTATTTTGTATAATAAAACAGTTTCCCCTACAAGGTTTCAGATTCTATAGCAGATTGGATGTAGGTTGTCTTATGCACTAGAGTAATTTGACAATATTGATAATTTTTAGAGAATAAAAGCATTTATGATGTCAAATAATTAGTTTGGTAGTTTCTAAATAGCTGTCATATATTTTCTTAATAGGACTCCATAAAACTTCGTACTCAAGTTATATTATAAAATTAAAAATACAATGATTAATTTATATTTTGCGTCCGATCGGTACCCATGTCCTTTCATTTGATACCCATAGCATAGAGGTGACTATGGAAATTATAAACTGCCATTTTGCGCCAGCTGCCAGGTTGGATTTAGAATGAGGTCATGCTTACTCCCTCAGCAAGCCCTTTAATTTGATACCCGTTTCTTTTGGATAAATGTGAAAATCAAAGCTTGTATTTAATTTACAAATCGCCATTTTACAGGCCCACCATATTTAGAATGACGTCACTTTACTTATCGTGTTCCTGCCATCAACCTTGAAAGATATAAACAGACCTTTTGCGCCGGTCGCCATACTGGATTTAGAATGACGTCACTTTGTTTATTGTGATTCTCTCTTCGAGCCCTTTCATTTGGTATCCTATCATAGGGGTTACCATTTTGTAGGATTCAAAATGGCGGCGATTACTTCATTTTGTGTTGTCACGCAAGCCAATCGTTTGTACAAAACTTCAGCTTAACTGGTTCAAAAGACAGGTCAAGTTGGATACAAGGTCGCAAAAGGTGTTCGGAACTAGAGCAGATACAACATACCAAAGGATAACTAAATTCAAAGAAATACTGGCCGCTCTATAATTTAAATGGGCGGCGTACAATTTGCCAGCACAATCTTTTCATACTGGAAGAGCCGTGGATGCAAAGCCTGAATACCGAGGTACTAAGATTGCTACAAAGAAGTTACAGTTTGACCCGATTTTTCCGAGTAGCAAGCTTATCTCTGCGGGCGACTTGAAGGTCAGTAGCTTCCATTCTGACGAAAGATCTAGAAACTTGGGGACGCAACAATTTCATACAGTTTAATGTTTCCAAAACACAATAAATAACGCCACAGCGTACATCTGGTTTCCATGAATGGCCGAGTTTTGCCAAGGAGTCTAAATCACCGAGGACTTGATTTAACACGCGTTATTCGTTTAGGGCGAAGAAGTATTTTTCCCCACATAACCTCCTCAAATACCTCTCACACCTTTGGGGTGGTGCCGCTTTGACTACACTGCCCATACAAGATGCTGATCCTTAAAATCTCCCTAATGGAGGAACTCGCCGACGTGCTCTCCTCCAAGTTGCCGCCGCACGTTGAGCTTTTCAGACGGACCCGTCAGGCTTCTGTCTCCCACACTAGCCCTGCCAAACAGTATAAACGCACCTTTGTTCCTAGAGTGACCAGGTTTTGAAAGAATCTGTCTGAGCAGGCCGTCCCAGTTCAACTTACATTAGGCAGCTCAAAAATCGGATCAACCAGATGTCCTTAAACTCCTTATAACAGTTGTCGTGCTTCGGTATTTATGTTACCACGTACGCGGCTGCATCAGTATAAAAAAAATGTGACAAGAGTAATTTTCAAGATGCCTAAACTTTCTCTACATATTAACACAGATATCGAACTGCATTTGAAGTCCTGTAATCTAATAGCGCAACGAGCTTTAAAACTGATGTGTTTTGTGAGATAACCATTACTTGTGCGTTACTGCAGTCCACCACAGCTGATGACTGAATCAACTTTATTTGTGTGCCTTATACAGGGTGTTCCTTAACGATATGCGAATATTTAAGGGTGTGAATCTACATGAAAAGTTAATGTTAGTATGCTTTATAAACTATGGTCCAAAAATGTTTCCTTACAAAAACTCGAGGTGTTGAAGTTTTAGGAAAAAAATGGAAATTAATTAATATTTTCAGAACCGCTTCAGATATTTCACTGATATTTAGTACGTAGTGAAAGTTAATAAAGTTGCATATTTTCCAATGCAAAAATAATTTTCAGCTTTAATAGTGGCGTGCGTACGGGTATTGACTTCGATATTTTTTGAGAAAAAATGGTACGCCAATGGTTTTTTGCCAAATTATTTTTGAATTCCCCGTTCAATTTAAAACAAATGATCTCTCTTGAATTGTTTTCCTTCGATGCGCCATTTTTGAGTAAAAATATAAAAACCGTTCTATTGTCTAACTTGCAAAATTATTATTAATTTAATTGGAAAATTAGGGTAATGAACAACAAAAACTGACAGCATAAACATAACATTAAAACCAACGAAATGATTACGAAAATACACTCGTTGAAATATCCCTGGAGTGTTTTTTATTCTATCACAAGCTGCAACTATTCTTTTTCTTAAATCCTCTACAGTGTTAATTGGACTTGTGTACACTAGTGTCTTAAGATGTAGATTCACACCTTTAAATATTCGCATATGATTAAGAAACACCCTGTAAACGTCAATGCCACCCCGATTTAAGCAGTATTTTTTAATTTTTCAGATTTTTAACCGCTCTACAAACAATTGTTTTCTGAGAACCGGCAGACAGAGGTAAGTGACCTTTATCTAATCCTCTCATCTAATTTGTAAATTCGTAACAAATTTTTATATAATTAATCATCCTCTGAAGCATAGTTATTTTTACAAAGAACATTTTTCCTTAACAACCTCAATTAGCGGATCGTACAGCATAACACAAAGTCGATTAAGTGGCTGTTGACATAATGAACGAAAGCTAATTTCGCCTGAAATGTGAAAATAGATGATTTGGTTATTTTTGATCCGAAAGTTTGTTTTATAAACGCCACTTTATGGATTTTGATATGTCTACACCCGCAGTTATCTGAAATTAGTTTGATGAGGTAGATAGTCAATGTGTTACATGTGCTACCTTGCTTTCGGCATACCACGAATGAAGTATTGCAACCGCGGAAAGATTCATATTCAAGAGTCTACAGCTTACGGCTTATAATGAGTCAATTCAGTTTAGATATAGCGGGTATACATTTTTAATTGAGAAACATGAAAAACACTAAGAATTCAGTTTCCGTAGTCTAGAAGCCGTAGTGTGTATTTTAGGTTCTACTTGATACTAGAGGTAAAATAATTTAGGAGCTGTTGAGCTTTCGCTTTCTTCAATCCTTGGCCCGTCGATAACTCGAAAAATACTGATCGGATTATGATCAAATCGAAAATCGTTCCCGTGGCGGTGGAGCTACATGAGGGAAAAAAAGATAAATCTAACAAACTTCGCTTTTTGACGTTTCAAAGACTACTGATCATTTTCAGAAAAAAAAATGTAGTGGTTAAAAATTAGAGGCTGAAGATTGTAGGGCGTTGTTTTTTGGCATTAGTATACGAGCCCCTTCCCACTTCAAGATTTGTACCAAAATATGCCTTTATAAACTAAACATGACGAAACTATTTACTTCTAAAACAATTTATTTTCTCAAAAACATTTTAGATACACTCTAGTCATAAAAAATACATATTTGAAATCACTTAGACCTATAACTAATAGAACATCTGAACAAATAAACAATGTGCGACTAAATGCGCGAAGTTAACAAAGTAACAATTGAAAGATTACCATTGGGTAACATCACCTTTATTTTTTATTACGGCTGAAATTCTTTGGGATAGTGTTAACCAAGTTTTGGCAAAAATTTGCTGTAAAACAATCCCATATTTCTTGAATCTTTTGTCTCAGTTCGGTGATTGTACGAGCAGGATGTTGTCGTACAACCTTTTCCATCTCGTGCCACAAAGTTTCAATAGGTGACAGATCTGGACTGCTAGAAACCCATTTTAAAAGTGGTACATTATTTTCTTCCATCCATTCTTTGAGGTATGGCACTCTGCACCATCTTGCTGAAACACAAAACCTTTGCCGGATGTCAAACATTCTTCCATCACTGGTAAAAGCAATTCTTCTAAAATTGCCAAATATTTGTTTGTATCCACATCTCCATCAATAAAATGAAGTTTTTGTACTCCTTTTGATGAAATACTGCCCCAGACCATGATGGATGCTGAAAATTTCACTTTTCTCTTCAGACAGTCAATATGGAATGCTTCATTTTTTTTGCGAATAACTCTACTGCGACTGTCACCAACACAAACTTCGAATCGGGCCTCATCACTCCATTGTGTTGCACACCATTAAGCCGATTTTTCTTTTGCAGTGGAGTTAATAGTGGCTTTTCTTTGGCCTATAAATAAGTTGTGCAACTTTAGGGTTTTTACTTCACTTTTTTGTATAAGAAAACTTACCTTGCAAGTGCTAAATACCAGTTTGTGGGCCTCTCTATGAGTTGTGGACCTCGAAATTCTCCTTCCAACAGCGTCACTACACAGAGCACATATTTGTAAATAATTGGCAAGCCTGTTTTTCACGATTGTTCCTCTTAATGCTCTTCGGTCGGCATTTGTGATATTACTTTTTTTCACATATCGTGGCTTAATATTATCTGAACCAGTTACGTTATATCTTCTAACAATATTTCTCACACTGTAGCGCGATAAGTCTAACAAAGTTGCAGTTTCTGAGTTTGATTTCCCAGAATTAAAAAATTTAATTATCGGTAACCGAATTTTCTCACTAATAACGTTTCCTCTACCCATTTTGAAATCCTTAACTACCCAAAACTATTTTAAACGTATTCTGACAGCTGTGATTGATAAAAACAATTGTCATGGCTTTTATTTTTTCACAGCCACCTATGCGTTATAGACTTATTTTGCATTGAAATGAAAATAGGTTGATAGGCTGTGATTGCTAATTGTTATTTTTATGCTGCAAATTTGATTAGGGAGTGATAAAGTTGGTGTTTTATACTATATATTATCAAAATATTCATTGTTAATATTTTAAACCAGAACACCCTGCTAAATTTTTATTATTTGTGTTTGATAAGAAAAAACTAGTATTTCAATAATTGGGCCAACTGAAGTGGGAAGGGGCTCGTATTTTTATGCATTTCCAACTTTGGTAATTCTATGATGCACTGTTTAGACACATTTCACACATAGATCTAATCGGACAGTTGTTCTTAGGACTTGGAATGATTTGAATATTTAAACTTCGTCCACGCTCAGTGCAACGGAAAGCACTATAAATTATAAAATTCCCCATCACGTCTTGTTTAAACGCGATAAATTCAAAAATTAGCCAACAGATTTTCATACGGTTTTCACCACTGGATAGTCGAATTCATGAGGTCGGTTCAGCTGTATTATTATATTATTATTATAGCTTATAGTATCGGATGAAATCTGACGGAATGGTTACCAAAGGCATCATTCGGCGAAAGTTGTAAAACCTACTGATGATACCTGAAGACTATCGTATCTAGTCTTCCCGGATTTTAAAGTACAGTTTAAAAGATATTTACAAGAATTGCAGAACAATCGCTAGCTTAAGTTCTTTCGTTTTCATACTTACCGTTTCTTCATGACCCTATTATATCTTCCCTTTTTGGTAACAATATCGGTACAACTCATTCGATTGTATTGTGACTTAATCCATTATCACATTTTTTTTTGTTTTTGTATAAAATTTTTTTTTTGTTGCGGTCAATAAAGACGATCATTAATTATTATTACTATTATATTAAGTCACAATAACCACTTTTCATTCGAATTAGTCAACCACGTTTAATAATGTTTTACGTTTTGCACTCGATGATATACACCCTTTGCGCAAGCTATAAGCAGAGTGGTTACAGTGACTAGCGTATTGTGCAGAAGATCGGGATTCGATAACTCACCCACAGGAGGGCATGTTTTTTGTTTTTTCGATTTGTAGTCAAGGTATATGAAACCTAAACATAAAATGCTTCTCGTTAGCAGTCTCAATGTTGTAAATAGAAAATTATAAATGTTTATATATCTTAGGACATGATTATTGCCGTCAACAATTAGTTAGAAAAAATATTTCGGGAATTCAACAAATTTTTGCAAAGTTGAAACATTATTTGCAAGCATTCAATAAATTAACTTCGGGAGATAGTTGAGTGAGAATGTTCCTAAATGTTCATATGAAATTGGATGGGAACAGTCCAATACGACAAGGTCAACTGGATTATTATTGCGACTATAATATCTATAGCTGGAACATTGATATATCAAGTAGTAATAGCTTCCGTTTCAAACTGCATCTCAGACTACATCTTCTAGGAATTCAGAATCGGATCAATGAATAAATTCCCTGTGATCAATTACCATTATTGTTTTTTTAGTTAGATTCATAGACATACAATCGTTTACTGTATTGTAAAATATCATATTTGTATTTCAAATTAGAATTAAGCTTTAGTTTTTCGAAAGGTTGAGTATAAGAATAGCTGTGCTAAACTCCGCCAATAAACCTGTTTATTATTATTATTAATAATATTTATGAATAATGGAATCTATTTGTTACAAACTTTTAAAAAGCCCACACACAGCTATGTATCATACATATCACAAACGAATTCAAAACAGTAAATTAATCATTTTGATTCTACATCATGAATGCTAAGAAAGATTTTTTCAATTAAATATGTTTATATATCTATACTGTATTTTTTAAATATTTGCAAAATCAGAAAGTAGACATGAAAAAATGATCCAAGTAGAATGAATTAGTTAATATATACCAGATCTGCGACTCATCAGCCTGATGTGGCAGTTAGGTACGGATGCGAAGCCAGGTTGGACCGCTAGTAGAAATCTAGGGGCCACAATATTGCCAAATGTGTAGGATTTGACCGACTTGATCCATTTAATTCCGTTATTATTCAAGTTCGCAGTTTTTTTTACAAGAAGTCATTTATTGGAGTTATGTTCCGTAATGGAAAGAAAACCTGGCAAATATTTAAATAACAAAGTAAAGGAAACAAATTCATTACCTACTTCAAAGTTTATTCCTTAACTAATAAGTTGGCCATGATTAAATTTTGCGCATGCGACCTTTTCTCTGCCAGACTATCTAAATTGAATTGCCATGCTGAATTTCGCTTCAATGTCGTGGGAGTTATACTTTTTCCAGGTTTTTGGTGGTCTGGACCACAGCGTATCCTCCCCATGTCGTGAGATTCTTCTTCCATCTCACTTAACCCACAACAAAGCTTGGTAGGAATTTACTTGTAGTGCAGGTGGAATCTGCTGCACTGGGAGATGTTATGAGAAAAAAATGTTGTTTAATTGGCCGAAATCTCCCCATACTAACAAGAACAAAGTCTGCAAGCTCTTTCCGCTCCAATATCTGCTCCGCTTCTTCATCCATCGCTAGGACTGCCATCTTCACCAGAGGGAGAGTTCCGCTGTGAACCTACACGTCATGAAAACACATTATGCCTAATACTTATGAGAACACACTATGTTCGATTTTGATGATTATAAGAAGGATCGCCAAGAATCGTGGTGTCTCGCTAATGAAAGTTATGCACTCTATCAAAAGGATGCAGAATGATGACAGAAATACTAAGTTCGAGCAGGGATGGGGCACAAGTAGCCATGGAACGCGGACTAGGAGGCTGATTCCAGAAATCAAGGTCTGGAATGATAGG